ATAAATAATACTCTCAAAATTATCACTGGAAACTGAACATCCTTGATGATTGTTTTAAAATAAATTTCTAAAAATAAAAATGCATGGTTAAAAGATGTGCAGTCTTTATAGATTGTTGCTTTTCTGAAAAGTTGCACCAGATCCATATCTGATCCCACAGAGAGTGAGCATCAGTGGGAGCATAATTGAAGCATTCTTGTACATATGTAAGAAACAAGTTGTAATGAAGGTAACATCCCATCAGTTTTCTTAGATTTTGATTCAAGAGGGTTTCCTTTATGAGGGCAGTTATTTGTAAATTTGGTAACCATGGTAAATTTGGTTACTATTCCCTATGGCTCTTAGATTGAAGTATATAACCTTGGCGCCATGTTTGCTAGTCAGTTGATTCAAATTCTACAGCATTTTTATTGTTTTATGTGGCCAGGTGATAAAGAGCTGTTTCAGTATCCCTTAGGAAATTTCCAAACAAATTGAGGGGTTTAGAATATTACAGATTCAGGATAGCTGGTAACTTGAATAAGGTATTTTGCTCTGGGCAATGGCAATCCTATCTAATAATAGACAAACATGGTAATTGACCATACCTTTGCTACGCCGCCCATTGGTTAATCAGCACGATATGCAAATTAACTGCCAACAAAGATGGCGGCTAATTTGCATAGTGCAGGCAGGGTGGGACAGCGCAGCTGTCCAGTGCAGCCAGCCACCATCCAGGCCCCCGTGTGCGACTGCAGAAGCCACCTGCCTGCCACCCCATGACCCCAGAAGCTGCCCAGAAGCCGGTGATGGGGGGGAGATGGGGGTCCCCTGCCCAGGCCTGACACCTCTGGCGGAGGCGTCAGGCCTGGGCAAGGGGCCACTATGGTGATAGGAGGGTGATGGGGATCAACACCTCTGGCCGAGGCATCAGGCCTGGGTGGGGGACAGAGCTGGTGATCAGGGGGAAATGGGGGTCCCCTGCCCAGGCCTGATGCCTCTGGCTGAGGCGTCAGGCCTGGGCAAGGGGCCGATCCGGCAATTGGAAGGTGATGGGGATCAACGCCTCTGGCTGAGGTGTCAGGCCTGGGTGAGGGTGGAGCCGGCGATGGGAGGGAGATGGAGGTCCCCTGCCTAGGCCTGATGCCTGGACCAGAGGCATCAGGCCTGGGCCAGGGGGGCCAAGTGGCGATTGATTGGCTAAGCTCCCTGTATGCCACTGGTAATATTGTTAGTAACTTGGGTAATCAGAATCCAAAAATA